TGGGGAGGGGGGAGGGGGAGGAGAGAGACACAGGGACAGACAGAGGGTTGGGGCAGGAACAAGGGTAGGAAAAGAGATACAGAGACATGGGTTTTGTGGAAATAAACTAAAACCAGGAACATCTCTAAGGCAACAGTGGAACCACAGATGGCCACACCTAAGCTTCGGCAACGGGAGGAGGGTGATTATTACAGCCTGGCACCACCCCACAGTAAACCTGCTGCACCTGCCCTGGCAGCAGACGCATGCAGATGCTGCACGGGATGTGTGTGTGTGTGTGTGTGTGTGTTGGGAGTGATAGGTGAGGTTTAGCCACGGAAATGGCTGAGATATTTAGCAGCATAATGCAACGCCCCATAGCCGGAGATTGTCATCTCAGCTTAANATTTTATAAATATGCTAAGCTAGAATTATCTCCTCGCCTCCGCCAACCTGTCAAGTTACAGGAAACATGGTCACAATCTCCCCTTCCTGAGTTACAGCGTTGAGTAATGGCCGTATGTGTTTTTTGCAGAACACTATGATGTCACAGTGAAGTTGACCTTTGTCCTTTTGGATATAAAATGTTATCACTTGTCATTTTACCCTGTTCGACATCTGTGTTAAATTGCGTCATAATTAGTGGATTAATTGTTGTTATGGCCAAAAAAAAACGTATTTCGAGGTCACAGTGACCTTGACCTTTTGACCTCAGAATTCTAATCACTTCATCTTTGAGTCCAAGTGAATGTTTCTGCAAAAATGGAAGAAATTCTGTCAGGGCATAACTGAGACATTACGTTCAGGAGAAGAGGACGTACTGTATGTGCATACATTATGTTTTCAGATACTCGGTCCGTACCTGAAAACATAATGCCTCCGGCCACAGATGTTGCCGGCACTGAGGCGTAATAAAACGTGATCAGATTAAATCAGGAAATCTCTCAATACCATGGGATAGATTATTAACACTATAAAAATTCCCAGGTGATCACATCTTCATTTGGTGCAGAGGTTTAAAGGCCACAGCTGCAACTGCAAACTGAAAGTCTCTTATCTTTTCCCACAGATAAAAAAAAAACCATAATGTAGCCAAAAGTATGAGACACCCATGAACATAAAATGTTTCCCAGGTTCCAAATTCATGTTGAAAGCCTTCCCACAGGAGTGGATGGTGATGTTAAAGCAGCATATTAATACCCATGTGTTTAAAATAAGATGTTCAACAATCACATGTGTGTGTAATGTCCAGGTAGCCACATAATTTGCCGGTAATGACAGTGGTTATAGTAAAAGCCTCCCAGTCGGACACATTGAGTCTGTGGAAGTCTAGACAAAACACTGGGAGGTTTCCTCTGGTCTTAATATTCCAGTGTATTTTCTGATTGTGATGTTGATTGTCCAAGTATGTTCTACAAAGTACAACCACATTTGTCTCACTTTGTTTAGCAGGGTCGAGATTTGACCTTTTGAGAAATGTGGTAAAAAATTCAATTGTCACATTGTAAGAAATACTTCACTTTTTCCTCCTCAATTTGATTCAGACATTGTTCACTGCGCCGTACTACAATTAAAACATATTACAACATAACCCCGGCCCCAATATTTCATTGATCTTACAAATGTCACACAGCAGCCTTCCCCCTTGCTAAAGAAAGACACAATTAGTTAAGAAGCACAACAAATCAGAGATGAGCCATGTTGGAAGCACCCATCTTTGCCATCCAGATGATGAATCACTTCTGAGTCAGCGTACTCCTTCGTGAAAGTTCAATTTGGAAGCACTGCAACCAGACATGCTTTAACATTTCAGAAGATTTAGTGTTTAATTTGGTGGAAGAATTATGCTGCAGTTGACTCTGGAAAAAAAGGGGAGTGCATCCATGTTGTACCAGGATGCATTTGCAATACAACATCCCTACTTTGCACTGTTGTTCATATAAATATAAGAGGTAGAACACTGACTCAGAATGGAGAAAAAAGGAAATTGGCAGACTGTTTTTCTCCCTCTCACCATCAAGCAAAACAAAATTCATATGGACAGATTTGGTGGACCCTCGTCCCATCTTTGATTAAATGCACAACACGGAAAACGGTGTGTCGAAATTAATATGATTTCATTCAATCACAGCACAGATGAAAAGCAGATAGTGACACCACACTATAAGACCCCCCTCAGCCTCGGAGAGAGACACGGCCGGCATGGCAAGCAGAACCCCAGAGAAAATGCCACACGTTACCTCTTCTGCGGCCATAGCTCCGGGCTGCTTGTCAGCATAGTGGGGGTGGGGTGGGTGGGGTGGGAGGGGGGAGGGGAGGAGAGAGGACACAGGGACAGACAGAGGGTTGGGGCAGGAACAAGGGTAGGAAAAGAGATACAGAGACATGGGTTTTGTGGAAATAAACTAAAACCAGAACATCTCTAAGGCAACAGTGTGAACCACAGATGGCCACACTAAGCTTCGGCAACGGGAGGAGGGTGATTATACAGCCTGGCCACCACCCCACAGTAAACCTCGCTCACCTGCCCTGGCAGCAGACGCATGCAGATGCTGCACGGGATGGTGTGTTGTGTGTGTGTGTGTGTGTGTGTTGGGAGTGATAGGTGAGGTTTAGCCACGGAAATGGCTGAGATATTTAGCAGCATAATGCAACGCCCCATAGCCGGAGATTGTCATCTCAGCTTAATGAGCCTGCGATGGCTCGTGTCCGTGCTAATCTTCAGTGAATGTTCACAGATGAAGCCATAAAGCGTGTATGCAGAGTGCATGCAGGGCTGAAGGTAGAGCAGGTTAGTCATTATCATGGCCTTGGTGAAATATTAAAAGCTGCTCTCAGGTCAGGTATGGCAGGCCAGGTGCGAGTGGAAACTTCCCACAGGATAAGGAGAGAGTGTGGAGGTGGCTGGCAGCCTCAGGGCTCTGGGAAGGGAGGATAACATGCAGAGAGGTATGGGTGGGGGGTGGAGAGCAGGCAATGATGTCAGGGCTGTGCAGATCGAAATCTATGGTGAGGCGAAAGTACAGCGCTGTGATCACTTCTATCTAATCAGCAGGTCACATGTTCCCGTCCTCAAAATTATCTCCATCTTATCTTATTCAGGTTTTTAATGCTCGTTTAACTGCAGTGACTCAAAAATTAAAGATAACAGCTGTAGATTTTACTCATGTCATCTGTGGACTTTTATCAAATGTAGCTTTAGACTGTCCAGAAAAAATGTTGTTCATTTGGACAAAAAAATTTAGTGTTTTCCAGAGCTTTCAACCATATTTCATGGTCTACTCTCCCATATACAACCAACTGTTATCACGTGACAAAAGGTCCATGACAACCGAGCAGTTTCCATCTGCATGAGCGATCAAAAGCTCCAGAAAAGCCCTTGAGTTCTGATGTTTGAATTATTTTCAATTGGTCAAGGTCGACTCAGTAACTTTTTTTCCAGAGCTTTCAACAGATTCCACAGTCTTCTCCGCAAATAAAACCACCTGTTAATACATGATATAACTCCACACTTAAGTCCCGTGGTGACAATTTAGCTATCTCCATGACAACTAAGCAAATTGCATCCGCTGACAAAGACCATGAGATGAATTCAAAAGCTCTGGAAAAAAGCTACTAAAAAGAGTTTTTGTCAAAATGAATAACAGTCTTTTCAGTAAGTCAAGGTTGAAACTGTATCTTGTTCCACCAACACAACTACTTGTAATCACGTGTCAAAATCACTCATTTGTCACCATGTAATGACCAACCTATCTCCATGACTACGCAAACACAATCTGCTGAGGAAGACCAGGAATTTCACTTGAAATCTCAGGAGGAAGCTAGTAAGTGGATATTGAGATTAGATTTTCTTTTTTTTTTTTGTTAAAAAGAGCCACATTATTTCCAATTCATCAAGGTCCATTTAGTAGATCTTTCATTAGCTTTCAATTGCATCTTACTGTCTTCCCCCCATCCTCTGGTCATTTGATGATAACTGAACTTTTTCCATGTCAACTTCTGTCCGTCCGTTCTAAGATTGAGAAGGAACCTTCACACTCAGTGTAGCTCAAGTTTTAGGTGCAGAAACACATCTTGTTTCAGGATTGTGTTTGAGTGTTTCCCTAATCCGTGACACGTTGTCACAAACGACAACTCGCTGTGCAGTGAATGCAAACCACCGAGGAGGCAACATGTGTCTTAAGATGGCGCAAATTCCAACAAACAGCAGGAGGGTTAACACAGCACTAAACAGATCCGCCTGCTCCTCTAAACTCATCAGTCACAAAGCGGACTCATTGCCTCTAAAACCAATATGGGCCTTTGCATTGTGAGAGCCCCCATTGTGCGACTTGGCCCTCTGGCTTCTCTCAGGGAATACATTGTCTCTGAGCCTCTTCTCTCTTGCTATGTTTTCATTAAAAAAAGCTCTCCAATCCAAAAAAAAAACAAAAAAAACCAGGGCAGTCTCTCTGCAGCTTTGCACTCTCACCGTCTGGTCTTGGCAGAAACAAAGTCACCTAGCAACCAGGGCGAAATTAAGAAAACGTTTCGCTGGGAAACCGTCAAATGCCCCAGTGAGAGGGAATACAATACAATACTGTGAGGGAGAGGAGGAAGGAGAAAAGTGAGGGTTAAGAATAAGTACCAACTTCAAACTGAGTGATGTCTGGGAGAGAGAGAGAGAGAGAGAGAAAATGCTTTAAGGGAAACTGGGTGATTCCTCTGGGCGTGATGAGTTTGATGTCTCCTACTCTGCTTGCCTTCAAAGCCTCAGACACCACCACTAAGCTATCAAGTGAACAACAGCAATAAATCTGGATTGAGGACCTATGCTTACTTCACCCTTTTTTCTCTACTTCAAGTGCTTCAAGTTACCATCACCATCCACAGAAAGTAGAGCCTTTACAGGCTCTCACAGCATGAAGCCTCAGAGCTAATGGGACCAAATGAAGAAGAAACGCAGAGTAAAACACTTTAAAGTCGAAACCAAAGCTTCCCTGTCTACACACATCACAGGCTACAACAGAGCGAGCCAGTTCTGACAGACTCGGAAGATCTGGGCAGATCTGTGCTTGCCTGAGCGTGGTCCCACGACACAACAGTTTAACATCAATCTGAGACACGTTCTCCGAGGATATGAACGATAAAAAGAACAAAATGAGGAAGGAGCGCCAGTGTTGTCAAGATGTGACAGTAGGAAACTGCCTCACCTAAAAAGTTTTTTTTTTTTTTTTTTTTTTTTTTTTTTATATTAGACATCCTCTTGCCTTTACCGGTGTCCGTACCCTGTGGACCAACTGAACATGTCCACAGAGGAAACTAGGGCTTTGCAGATCTGTCCAGGCGACCTTGATATTTTGATGAGGTCTTGGACAAAAAGATGGGAGACATGACTGGCCCTAACAGACCTAGAGGAAATCAAGCCCCGCAGAAATCAAATCCCTGACCCCGTCCAAAGACAAATAAAGATCTCTCAGAAGGGCAGAGCCTGGCCTGGAAAACTCTGAGGCATCCATGTAGCAGCATGTGGGATAAAGACCTGATTTCTCTCTCTCCTGTCACTGTTGATCATCTGCTGGCTGGTGGGACACTGGGGGGGGGGGGGGGGGGGTGTCTAGTCTTACATGTTGGAGTATTTTTGGAAGTGCTATTCACAGGTCAACTGCCTGTGCTAAGAGGACTGTCCAAGGTTTATGGTGTCAGGGAATCCAGGCCTTAGCAAAGGGTAGGCAGGTGTGCCCCGTGCGTATTGACATGAACCGGTGCGGTCATATGTTTTTCATGGGAACCCGCCACAGATCACTTCCCATTCTTTTAAAAACGCAGAGGACAAAAAGGCAGCAGCAACACATCAGTAAAAGTGAAACAATTCCAAGGAGATGATGGGTACTCCAGTGAAATGTGACTTACTATTCAATGGCATTATGTGGTCTGCTCCAGGATGATGAAAATTGAGGCCCATACGTCCTGTGAAAGAAAGAAAGAAAAAAAAAAAAAATTTTACAAAAGAGGGAAAACATGGAAATCACTGATAAAAGCCAGCCTGTTGACAGACATTCATTTAATCTTCCATTCTACTGTCGGCAGTGAGCGAACGCCAGCCGTGATGAAATGTTTAACATAACTCCAATAAACAACAAATTTACCCAACGTGACACAATGGCAGAAAACATGACCACAGATTACAAATGTGAAAAGTGAGGGGGAGACACACACATTCCTCTGTTGTCACATATCTCATATGCACACACGCACACACGCACACACACACACACACAAACAAAAGCAGCTATAAGGCTAGGAATTCAACAGAGCGTGCATTCTGCTATGGTGACATTGTGCGCATGTAACAAGGGCCCATCTGTCAGTGCTTTCCTGGGTAGAGGGGTGGTGTCGGACATCTAAATGGAAGTCATCCTGGTTAGCTCCGTCTACATCATCCACAACAAGAAAAAGACACTTAAGCTGAGGCACCTGGTTTTAGGACAAACTATTGCCATCTCACTGTCATCATTATTGCAGTGGCAGCCGCAGAGGCACACCCTTTATCCCTAACCACTTAAAATGAGCCCTCTGTCAAAATCCACCTACACAAGCTTTTCACTCAACACACAGCAGGCGAGCGGCCGACTTAGAGTCAGGTGAAGCAACATTTTCACTTGGATAGATTTTAATACCCTTCAGATTCAAGCAGACGCCGCCTTTTCTGCCCCTCCGCTTGTGCAGAGCATCACGTCAGTGTTAACAGTGGGGTGTTGGTGGGGGGTAAAGGTGAAAAGGGACACAGCTGCAATGGATATTTTGCTTCTGTGGTAGTATAGGTTTCCCCATATGCGACATGGACTTTGAGAGACCAGTCGGCCGCATGTTGAAAGCTGCTGTGGCGCAAACAATGATGACATGACAAGTTTCAAAACTCCTCCACCCACAGAAGACAGATAGTGGGGACACCAAGGGGGCCTCTTCCTGGCTCGTAAACAAGAGGGGAAGCAGCAGTTAGACCTGGCTGAAAACCGCAGAGGCAGTGTAGGGGGAGTACAAGGGGCGGCCACACTGCAGCTCCACAGATGTGGATTTCCACACTCCTCTTGGCCAATCACAATCTAGGCAACAATAGGGCTTAGGGGCAAATAGAATGTGACAAGCCCAGACATTCATGAACACATTTGTATGAACACGTGGACTGTGTGACATATGGATATGTGGCCTAGTGTCACATACTCCTCACAACTTATTATCAGGAGAAAAAGACTGGAGGCACTCAAAAGGAGGGAAATCCAGTGTTACATCCTGACACTGACGGTTTTTAACTCTCCAGAAAGTTCTCCACCTGTCCACAGCTTTCTCTGTCCCACCAGCCTTACATCTGATTTTCTTCCAAGTTCAACAGATCCAAGGGAAAGATGCACAGAATCGTTTATTGGTAAACGTGTGTGTGGTCTATGTGTTAGTCCGCCAACCAAATTAGGGGGTTTAAGCCCAAATGTCTCACTGGCTGAAGTGTCCTTGAGAGAAAATCCCTGACAGCTCTATAGCAGAACGTGCACTCTGACTTAGTCCCACTGCAATTGGTTAAGTGAAAGAAGAGGAGTCACACCTAGTACAATCCATTGAACACATTCACAATCACAAAGCTGTGACTTTGCTGATAGGAGGGCAAAAGTTTGGACAAACACTGATCTGATCTGTGCTTCCCTTTTCATCTACATTAGTCATTTTGGGTGATAGAGGGGGACAGTTGCCCTCCTGAAGCCTTTAAATAGCTCTGGGCATGTGCCATCTGCTTCCCCCAGGAGTTGAGTGGCAGGGCCTGAGGGGCCCCCGAGTTGCTGCCGCTGCCGCTGCTGTTCTGGTGACATTTCCTCACCGAGAGCCTGAGCTATTCTCAACCTCCCCATGATGGCCGCACAGCAGCAGCAGCAGCAGCCACTCGGGAGAGACACACCATCCGTTTCCTTAGGCATGGATCCAACAGCACCTCCCCTTCACTTGCCTGACAATCTGCAGACTGGACAGTGACCTCGCTGTGACCGCTTTGGTAGAACTGGGATAAAGAGTAGGGGATAGGTTAGCTGGAGGTAGCCAGTGGGATCTGGTGCCCAAATGGGGTGCTCCAAAGTAATCATTGTGGGGGAGCATGGGGCCTCTGGGGTTTAAGCAAAACAGTCTGATTAAAAGTCTGCAGTATACCAGGAGAAATGAGGTTGAAATCAATATCAGCTGTATATTTTTAAGGGGTCTACAGACATTTATATCTTTTATCAGCTGCTATCAACAACAGGAAAGAGTGAGGCTTAAAAGTACTAATAACAATACTACTCTCTTATTAGCTCTTTTTGGCTCAAGGGCAAACTGCCTCATAGAACTATCTCCAGTTCTTGAAAATGTGAGACCACAGTTTATTATCAGAAGCCAAAAATCTGATCATCTGGTGAAGTTACAGCTGAGGTACTGGTACTGATCAACAACCCCATCTATCATCACAGATATATCATGGTCTTTGTGTTGGACACACTATGTGGTCCCCTCTAGGGTGCACAGGTTTTGAAGGGAAAGAAAATAGGTTTTGGACCTTTGGTCTATGTGTATCAAAAACTACTGGAGGCTGCAGAAGTGCCAAAGTGGTTCAATTTTCACTAGACTCCACATGGCTGAATACCTTCGACTGCATCCCACCTGGCGCTCGTCTCAACTGCTTTGGTCTCATTTTGCTCCCTCTGGTCCACATTATAGCACATATCTAAGCCCCCAATAACATTCATGGGAGAAAGCTCGAGCCAAAGTTATGAGAGTAATTTGGGTGTACCAACAAGAAAGAGTGGAAATGTTAGCCGTGATGAAAAAAAACTACAGCAGCAGGGTGCCCCAAAGCTGCGCTCTTGCCAAAGAAACGTTCAATTACCTACACAACATAAGCAGAAAGGGGTAAGACTCATGACAATACCCACAGAGGGACTTGTGTTCCGCACACATTCAACAGAGGACTGGAAAGATTGAGAGGGATGGATGCTTGTGTGAGAAGACCCGGTGAGAGAGGTGTTTTGTGTGTCTCTGTTTGTCAAGAGTGTCCAACTTCCTCCACCTCATACCAACCCGAGCTGAACCCAACAACCCTTGACCAGACGATTACAACAGGGCCAAGGTTCCTTTAGCTATCAAGCCATAACACGTGAAACTATACAAAACTGTGTACAGAACAAACCACAAAGGTTTATAGCACATTTCCAGAAGTATATCCAGAAATATGACAACCTCCAACTGTCATTCAATGTTTCATTAAAGTGATAATCATAAAACTATTAAATGGCATTCATAGAACAATAAGAGGATTTCCAGAATCTAGTTAAGCCTGATGCACAACTTGGCAGAGATAGTAACGCTTTCATGGTTTGTGAGATCTGAACAAACCGTGATTTTAACAGACAAAACAAGCCCAGACTTGTTTTGTTGCCTGGACTGGATTAGCTCAGTCATGCTTGCAGGAGTCATGAATTTTCCACCATAACAAAACATAACACTCTGACAGTGTAGTTTATTGGAGGTAAGGTGCAATTTAACCTTTAACACGGCCAACGAACACATCATCTTATCTCTATACAGTCATTACTGGCTGGTTAAAGTACAGGGGGCTTCCCTCCACGGTTGAGATCATCTCAAGTGTTGTTAACTACATGGGTTGAAAAGTTAAAAGGGTCAAGTCCAGCTTGTCAGCCAAACTTCAGCCCAGCCAAATATTGACCTTTAACCTCAAGTTAAGCTGGCGTGACCCCTCTCCGTACCTAAACAAAGACAAACGTTCACACAGGCTTCCTCAACAAATGTGATCTTTAAAAGGACCAAGTTATGACGGAGAAAGTTTTTTTTCTTGGTCTGAACCTTTAACTCAAAACTTTATCTTTTAACCTTTCTACTAAACCAAAACTTCCTGAAGACCTTTAAACCACAATTTTACCTTAAGTAGAGACATAAAGTGCAAAGTCTGGGCAGTATCTATGCAAAAGTTTCAAGAAAAGTTATATACCCAACCTTTCCTATCATTGAAGCACTTGCCTAATCACACTGTTACTCTTTTGACCTGTATTGCGCGTGCAATCCTTGTTTTCCTCCTGATGTGTCAACTCTTATCCACTGACCAATGCTCTTGTCAACAAACGCACAAAGTCAAACAGCACCAGTGTTTGCGCTCCCTCAACTACCTACTGCAGTTACAGCGGGACCCTACTATCTTTTGGTGACAACCAAACACAACACGGACTGTAAAAATCAATGGAAAACGGCTTGTGTAAAGTTGTGTAAAGCCAGGTGGAGGCATTGTGCTGAGATGGTTAGTTGATTATTCTTATTATAATAGTTGGTCAATGGTTTTAATGAATTGATTAAATACTTTAAGCAATTTCTCAAATTAATTTCCAAACATCTTTAGGATGCACGCTCTGCAAGTGAATCTAAATTGATTCACTTTGGGGTTTTTTAACAGTTGTATGAAATTTCATTTTGTGATCATTTATAGACTTGACAATGAAGAATAATTTGACATTTTGGGAAACATGCTTATTTACTTTCTGGGATCTCTTGGATGGATTAAACAAACAAGATGTAATGTGTTAATTTGTGAGCTTTAGAAATGATAGTAGGCATATTTTCTTTCTAGCAAAACTAGCTGTTTCTCCCTGCTTCCCTGCAAGGCTAAGCTTCCACACCAGGCTAGCTTCTGTGCTAGGCTAAGTTTCCAGTCTTTATGAAAATAATCACAAGTTGCAGCTCTACTTAAAGTGGGTGTAGAGTGACATTAAAATTAATGGCGTTCAGTCGTCTAAAAGCTGCTCTCTCACACACAATGAGACGATGCAAATTGTAACTGATGCATGAGAAAGATCATGTGAGTCAGACCAGCTGAGGCAATGTGAGTATGTGTGTTCAGAGAGACACTGTGGGTGGAGGGGTGGGGGTGGGGTGGGGGGGGTCCACATGCAGCTTCTATGAGGACTTAGGGGACTTATTAACACTTATGAGTATCTCAAGTGGTTAGTGATAGCAGGGGTCTGTGTGTGTGTGTGTGTGTGTGTGTGTGTGTGTGTGTGTGTGTGTGTGTGTGTGAGAAACAGTATCATGTCTGCTGAGTTGTCTGTGTCATAGCTAACAATGAGTGTAAGCCTGAAACAGTGTGTGAGGTGAGAGTGGTTTGCATAAAATGTCACAGTTGATTTGTGTCAGAAACAATTTGAATGAGTGTATCCTGTGTGTGTGTGTGTGTGTGTGTGTGTGTGTGTGTGTGTGTGTGTGTGTGTGTGTGTGTGTGTGTGTGTGTGTGACAGTACTGCTGGCAGCAGTGGTGGTAGCTGTTGTCAAATCAGTGGTGTTTTTCCAGGCCAAAAGGAGAATCTCTTATGTGTGTGTTAGTACGGGGGTGCCTGGCTCTCCACACGTGAGCTCAGCTGACCCAGTTCAGCAACTACATGCAGACCAGTGTGTGTGAAGCAGTGCAGAAATGGAGATTGTTCAGACGTCCCTGTGGCCCCGTTCCCCTCACCCAGAGGTAGAGAGCTTTTAAAAAGTTTGAGAGTATCGCAAGAATAGAGCGTCTCTCTCTCTCTCTCTCACACACACACACACGTGCGCGCGCTTTGAAGCAGGCTCTTCTCCAAACAAGTGCTCAGAAAAAAAGTGGTTGCCCTCCTCCCTGTCTTGACAGAGAGAGAAGAGGGTGTGGGTGGGGTCATCTCACACTCCCTTTAGAAAACCCGCTGATTCTCATTACAGTACAAGCACTCCTCCTTTAAAACACACACACGCACGCACGCACACACACACACACACACAACCACACACACACACACACACAACCACACACACACACACACACAACCACACACACACACACACACAACCACACACACACACACACACACACACACACAGGGACTCATGAAACACTAAAGGAAAAACAACTATTCCCATCACAATGAGAAGTATGTGAGAAATGTCTGTGATGGGATGGATGTGGGTGGGACCCATTCCAGTTGGGGATGCAAATCTGCGTCTACTGGGACAATTGGTTTTTACTGGTGGTTCTCAGCTTGTGGGTAGTATCTCCAAAGTGGGATGCCAGACTTACAGCAACAGTGGTTGGCTTCAGAAACAACTTGGATGAAAAAAAAGATAATTTATTAACTTGTCTAGGTCGGTATCTGGTCAAAGGAGGAGTAGTTTCAGTTGAGAATTACCAACTAGATTTGTGAATTCTTACAAAATAACCCAACATCAAAAGAGACAGTAAATCACTTATGTTTTCAAATTCAAGTAACAACATCATACTGTCTGTATGGTGCATATTTTCTTTGATTGTGAGAATAATTGATGAGGTTCGGAAAGCACCTAAAAAACATATTCCTGTTTATTACCTGCGCCCTGTTTCCCAAATACATCTTTAAGTTAAGATGATCCTTGCCCATAGTCTTACAATGGGGTCAAGTTCATCTTGGCCGCGGGAAACAAAACCCTGATGAGTCCATGACATTTTCTCTGCGTAACAACTAATGACTCTCAACTGCAACACTAAATGCTCTGTCGTCTTTGTTGCAGCATGAGGGTGCATGGGGCTAAAACCAACACCTGAATCTAGTCTGGTTCCAGGCCTGTGAATCTCCACCCACATCTCTGATTTGTTGGGCAATTCAGACAGGTCTGGGGTTGGCAGATGTTTCAACCAGTTACAGAAACAATCGATGAATCAGCGCTTAGTAGAGGGAATTAAGAATGTGGATGTCATCTTCTTGCATAGCTAGCGTGTTACCTAGCTTCATTCAAGAATAGCATCAGAAAAATAGCAAGACAGCCAGATAAAACTGATGGCCACTGCTACGACAGTCTCAGTGTCAACGGAAAATTACTTTGGTAATGGGGCGGAAACATTTTCCCTTCAGACAGGAAATCACCTGACATGAACACAATGTCAGGATGATAGAATCGAGTCAAAAGAAATGATAATTCAGTCAGCTGATCAGGCTAACCTGAACCCGGCTTGCGCCTTTATAACCTGACCTAACCCAAGTGCTACTGAAAACCAAAGGGACATCTTTGCCACATTTATTTTTTTGTTACTGACATTTAGCTTGTCAACACATTTGCTGCACTATCTCTTGCCTTTTTTCCCCACTCGGCATTAAATTTCCACAAATTAACCTGACTCGACCCGAGGCTTTTCCCATCAAACTGGCTCACACCAGTCAGGATTTGGTCAAGTAGCAAATCCCAGGTGCAATGTTTGTTAAACAATTCAGTTTGAGCAAAACCTTGTGGTCCAAATAACCTCCTCAGCCTTTTTGCTGTTGATTATTCAGAAGACGGTGTACCTGGTCATTTCTTTCTCTGACAGTGAGTGCGGATACTTGCAGCGTGGAGCTGCTCTGTGGTCGTCATGGTTGCTTACTGCAGCCTCACGAAGTAAACATGACGACGAGAGGGGTAAACAAGCAAAGAGAGATGTAGGACTGTGTATCCGTGTAGCACCCTCCTGGTCTTTCCTTGTATCTCCACTGTCTCTGTTGTGTTTTGATAAACAATCACAAGGGGAAGCCCAGCAGGACATTACAACACCTTTCCAGTAAAGTTGGGCCAGGCCAGGATAACCATTCTGCTGTAACAATGCTCTCTCAGCACAAGGTTGGGAAAACAGACCCTGAGCATGAGAAAGAGACATGCTCTGCTTATTATATACCCCTCCCACCGATCTTTCCATTGTTAAAATGGGAGGATGGGAGAGCACGAAAAACCTACACTCAACCTGACAGGGCCCCATCTGAGAGACAGGAGTTTTTACAATAGACACGTGACCTCTGCTACAAAAATATTTGCTTAGAAGGCCTGACATACATTTGATGGACTTAAAAGGACAGTGAGAGAGATTTCTTAACATTGTTTTCATGTTTTAATAAATTCTCTATACTTCCCAGGAGATAAAACAGCATGACGCTAATTTATTTTGGTCTGAATCTGCATTTCACTGTTAAGAAAACTGTTTCTGTGTATTGAGGTTGCTTAAAAACACTGACTTGATCTTCAGGCTGTGAATCTGTCATGGCATGTCTAAGCCCACAATCACACACAAACAAACCTCCCAAGTATGATATCTGAATTCTGCTTTGTGGCAATCATGTCAGTTAATAACAGCAACAACATAAACCACAAATACACTCAATCACTCCACAGTTAAAAACACAGGTCACATGACATCGTTCACTTGATCCATTGGTTCCAATCAGCAGAAGAGGGGCAAAAGAAAATGCATTAAGACCACAAGTGCAGATTGCTGCACTTCTGCTCCACCCCACACACACACACACACACACACGCACACACACACACACACACACACGCACACACACACACACACACACACGCACACACACACACACACACACACGCACACACACACACACACACACACGCACACACACACACACACACACACACACACACAGAAATTGTGTGAGATTTTGCAGGTAAGGCTCATTATATTAATTATTCATTTCAATTTCAAACAGAACAGGGTGATCCGTACTGGATTGGTTGACAGATTGGCAAATAGAGCAAAAGAAAAACAAATGTACCCAGAGATGATATATGCCCATGAAGCACAAAAAAAAAAAGTACTGTAAGCATGGACGTATGAATATTCCTAACCTGCAAAATGATTCCTCCATATAATATCAGCGATAGTCATTGGTGGGCCACCGGCAGGGTGTGGTTTACCTTTGTCATGGTCAGTCCTTATCATATCCATTAAGGAATTCTCCAAAGAGTGCAAGCTAAAAGCATCAAAGGGCCGATTCCGGTCCTGCAACACAGCAAAACAGGAAGAGGGTTAGGATCAGAGTCAGGGAAGGAAATAGTATGGACAACCAGGGCTCAGTGCACACGACATCTATTACATGACTTTCTTGGAAAAGGGAGCCCTCAGTTGCTCTTCCTGAGGTTTTTCTTGGTTTCTTCCATTATTTTTCCAGTTGATTTGAGAATGGGTTTGAGGGTCGAAAGTCAAAGGGTGTTGTATGCTGTACAGACTGTAGAACCCCTTGCGGCAAATTTGTCATTTGATATTGAACTATATGAATAAAATTTGATTCTATTGTACTGCAACCATCAGGTATGAAAAACACACAAGGCACATTCAGCATTACCAGTATATATTCATAAATATACAGTATATGCTGTACATTAAAAAAAACACACTCACTAATATTACAGCTTTCAAAGTTGTGTAAATATTGTGCATAACATAAAATCAAATTGTACAATAAATGTTAAATATGACAAAATAAAAATTAACTGAAGTAAATAAATGCCTATTTTATGTGTTATTTCTGAATCAACAACAGTAGGAACAGTTATGAAAGCCATGCATGAAGGACACAATGAAGCTTTACCATGTTTAAAAACTTTCAGACTTGAACTTGCACATTTTTCCTTGGTTGCCTGGTTACCTTGCTCAAGGCAACAACTTGCACATACCAACAGTGAGACAGGGTGGGATGCATTCTTAGCTAATCTAGACTAATATAAATTCAGGACGTTAGATTGAATGTTACGGTTTTAAAGAAAATAGGAGATATACAGTATGTGTCAGCCCTGGGGATGATGGAGAATAGAGTAGATATTGAAAAGGAGATATGAGTCTTGGTCAGGGGAACCTTAAAGCTTTTCATGTCAAAAAGTGACAGTGAAAGAAGAGACAGGATTGTGCCCTCAGGAGCCTCATCGCTCTTGATTTGTGTCATTTAGTGGAGGACTTCTCAGCCGTCAACTCTATGTGAGGGGATAACAGTGGGGCAACTTAAAGCCATGATCAAAACAGCTATTCCTTGGCCTTTCTTGTAATCAATGAAGTACTCCTCACTTTGTTTGTGACCCTCTGAGTATTATTTATTTTGACAGATGTCACTACCATACAACTGAAGAAGACCTGACTAGAGCTGGAACAGTCACTGAATTATTGGATTAGTCAATCAACAAAAGAAACCGGTGTTTTGATAATCATTTAAACATTTAAGCATTTTTTAAGACTGAGATGGCTAAAACTCTGTGGGTCAGTTTCTCAAATATGATTATTTGCTGGTTTTCTAGTTTTAAAGAGGCAATTTGAGGTGGACATTTTTAACTATCTTCTGACATTTTATAGAAAAAAGCCATTTATTGATTAATGAATAAAATATTTGTAAGATTAGTCATAGTTTGTCCTGCTGGAATCAAAATCGTTCATGTTCACAAGTGCGCTACACCGGACCTGTATTAATATACGTGGAGGAACAGCTTAAAACAACCTTAGAATCTTTACAGATTTACAGGGTTATACATGTTTACCTTGTGGTGTATGAGTTAATTTAATGGGGGCTTTTGACACTTGAAGGGCTCTGGGGGAGCGTACACACTCGCAGACAGCCTATTTTGGACTGTTGAATGGTGACATCACTGTGTGTGCGTGTATTTGTTTGCAGGTGCATGGTACAGTTCTCTTTGTGTCAGTGCTGTGCACAGTGTAGAAAGTCCAAGCTCAGAGGTTCGTCGTGAATATTAACGAACCATGTGAAATTTCAGCGGCCGATGCAAAGGAGAAACCCTGAATAATTAGTTGCAGCACTAGTTCCAACTTAGAGAACCTTTCAAGAGCAGATTAAATCATTTTCAAATCAGTCATTTCACAGGTTAATATCTGAGTTATAGTGACAGCCAAGGTATTATGAAATTACAAATATATCAATCAATAGCTGAAGATTATGTAAAAATGTTATGAAAGCACCTTAGTGCTTTCCTGTTTGCCAAGTCTGTCTTACAGGAACTCAGTTCCACCTGATGCAGCTGGTTTTGAAACTGCCCTCAGAGTTAGAGTCGGGTGCTGTGGTTGTGATGGGGCACTAAACTTCTGTTTGTGCTGCAGCAGTAACACTGTCATTAGGTGGGTATTTTACCCCGGTGATTTACGAAACCTCTCCAAACTCATTTCCTGATGCTGTGAAGCAGATCGGTCCTATCGAGTCCTGGACTGGACAGCCGGTACCACATCAAACACCTCAAGGTTAAAGCGCCCACTGATGAAATGTTAAGGCGCCCACTGTGTGCGAATGAATTTATTAGAATGACATGTGTGCCAAAGGTAAAGGCCGAGATCGCGAAGCCGGAGCTGGAGGCTGCAGCCTTGGCAGCTGTGTCCTGTGTCCGCAGCCCGGGCCGGGGCCACATTGTTTGCACACCACAGCTATTGTTGCCCATTCGGCTGAGCATTCAAAAGTGTTATTCCCCCCACTCTGGACCCGACAGCGCCACGTAGATAAAAATCTGCCCACTTGGTACAAACGGTAAACACTTAAAATGCTGAGCTTTTAGTTTCCTCCCTCTCCTCTCCCCTCTGACACATGTGGATGACGGGTGGGGGTCGGAGAGCTCACTGTAGTCAAATGACCTAAAGAGGTAGCATATACAAAAGTCCCAAACAGACTTCATTGTTTAACACATCACATAAGTTTCCAGAGTGTGGAATGCAGGTTCAAGTTGACCTATCCTGACTACACTGCAGCTCATCTTTCCTCATGACCCATAAACAAGATATAAGAGTTTATAAGTGTTTATGAGGAGATCATGATAAGAAACAGACTAAGCATTTAAGATATGGCTGAGTACCTGTTTTTAATGAAGAAAGTCTGTTCAGTAAGATTAAGGAATGTCAGGTTCAGAAACAGTTGAATTTATAATTTATTGTTTTTTTTTCTTTATACTCTATAAAATGTGTGAGCAACAGTCAATTCTTTTTGGCTGGACTAGCCACAGGCGAGTGCTATAGCCGCGAATGTCCGTGACTGAGTGAGTGAGTGAGTGAGTTGAGTGAGTGAGTTATGAAGTTACACCATTGGTCGGCTGGTAGAGTGTTGGACTTTTCCCATTGGCGGTTTCTCTTTAAAAATAATTTGGCGCGAACAGTTTCTATTATGTCATCAGGGGGCGTTTACAGAGAATTCACAACAGTTTTCAACAACTGTATGTCCTCAAATAGTATTTTAGTAGGACGGCTCGTTTTGATCTGCTCCAGTTTGTCCAATTAAAATGACTGCATTATTCATCATTACGAACACACTTCCTGAAACCATTTCAAATTAAAAGCCCTCTAGCGTTTCATTGGACAGACACATTTTAGTTCTTAACAGGGCTTTTATTGCTGTGCTGACGTGCTGCAGTAAGTATGATGAGTAATGTCTGATTTCCAGTTGCTGGCATTTGTTGTTTACTCATTATTCAGATCTTCTAGTTCCTTTAGCTTAACAGTTACGGATGGCTTCTCTCTCTCCTGCTCTGTGTTGCCCCGTCTATATATCCCTGCCTCTGCTGAATTATTTTTATACCCGGTGAAGACAAAATTTATCCTCCCCCCAAAGTGATAATGGTGGCAACAGCTAAGGTTGCGTCGGTGAGGGTTGATTACATATGTGAGCCCAGTCCTGGAACACGCAGACATCACGCTCTCAGTAGATGATTGACAGACATGCACTTTATGAATTTTTATGGATTTTTTTGACAAACAAAATGGGGCAAGAAATACAAGCCTTAAAAGTTACGACAAATACACATGTATCCCAGTCGATATTTAGATTGCACATTACACTACTGACTCTTAAAAAATGTGTTTCCACAAAGTCTGTTTGAATCCACGAAATGCCACCCAACATATAAAATCTTTGGATAAATATATGATTAGCATTAGTTATGCCCTTTAAGATTTCAAGAACCTGTTTCAATTAGAGATGATTATTTTCATTATTAGTTAATCTGACAATTATCATTATTATTATTAATTGATTAATTGTTAAGTCTAGAAAATGTCAAAAAATAGTGAAAAATATGTCCAAGGTGATGTCTTCAAATTGCTTGATTTCTCTGGCCGACAGTACAACATGCAAAAATAAACAGCAAACCGTCAGGTTAAAAAAGCTGGAAAAAGTAAAAAATTGGTATTTTTGTGTGATAAATGACTTAAACAATTAAACAATTACCAAGATGATTGGCTATTTTGATAATTTTCTGTTAACTGACTGGTGATTAATTAATTCATGTTTGAGCATTCCCAATGAGCATGAACTAACATGCCCTCTGTTCCTTGGTGCCTCCAGCAGTTGGCTGTGCCTTTCAATCCTAAACTATATTATATATACAGTACAGCACAAGAACCAAGCTGAACCACCAAAAGTTCTTAATGTAAATGGCAGGGGTTACACCCTCAAACCTGTTGAGGCCCCTCTGTTTTGTATGACCATCAGACAGCATTTGAGTGTGAGACTCAACCTGTCAGTCTGCATGCTGACTTCAAACCTCTTGATCTGATACGAGGCAACCACACAAGAGTCACCACTAGCACTATTTCAAATTAAGGTATCTCCTGAGAAGCTCATGTGACTTTGCGTCTTAAGCCTCACACTGACATGTTAAGTTGCATTCCGCACATTCCTCGGCCTTTAAGAGGCAGCCAGCGGCAGGCGAGTACGAGCACATATCAGGGCACACGGGACTCAACATTTCACCCTGCGTTTCTTCTGCGGCATCTGAAGAATACTGAGGGAGATCTACAGAATGACAACAACTACACCTGTCACCAGCTGTCCACATGACACTGCAGGGCCGGTGTGTGTACCCCGCCTGCTGCTCGGCTCAGCGATTTGCCTTTTGAGTTTCACTTCAGTAAACAGGCCAGTTGACATGTGGCACCATGACCTTGCATCCTGGTGACAAGTCTTCTCCAATCATGGGTGTAATTGTTAAGCAGCTAAGTGTGAACTAGAGATCGTGTTGCATCACCAAGGCAAGCGAGCTCTTTCAAAAACTATAACAAGGTTGGACTATTGGTCGAAAACAGGACATCACTTTCAGTGAATTTTTTTACTTTTTTTTGGTGTTTTATAAACCAACAATTAATCAAAAAAAATCGGCAGATTAATATGATTATGAAAAGAATCGTTAGTTTCAGCCCTAGTTTTACCCCCAGTTGTCCCTGTTTCTGCTTTAAACAAAACAGGGTAATGGGATTTGAAAGGGAAGGTCTAATTAAAGATGTCATTAAATTGCATTATGGGAAATGTAGGATCCTGGATTTTTAAAAATTTGACATACACATGGGGCAAAAAGTCAGGATATGTTGTATATTGCACTGCTTTGGACAATTCTTTTATTAAATCTGTCTTTCATAAGGCCCCCATCATTATGGAGAAGCATCACTCATATCACTGGAATGGCTCTTTAAGGTGTTTTTGTTCAAGGACTGATCAATGTTAATGTGCAACAAATGCATCGAATTACATTTTCCTTAAATGTGGGCTATAATTTTAACAGTGTCACTCTGTGTAGCTTTGGCAAGTCTGAGGAAGAGGTGCATGCTTGAAACATCACACCTGAAATTAAAGTAATTGAAATGGAAACAACAAGTTGTCAATCTTGTCTGATTTGTTTTGTAGAGAGAAACCTCCACCCTATCAGAGATAACATGACACGCTTATACTGCAAATGAGAACATATAATTTGTGAGCAAAGCACCTTATTGGCACCAGTGTGTCACTTTAACCCCTCTGTTTCATCTGGCAACGCTTGTCCACATGCAAGCACTGATGACTGTTGTACTTCATCTCTGCTATTCGCCTGATTTTCACTTCGGTAAACAGACCACTCTATGCAGCATGATATGTGGCCCTGTGACCTTGTCTCTCGGTGATAACTAGAGCTGTAAGATGGCCATGTCAAGAAAACACAGATAGAGGTTCTCGGCAGAGGAAACCGAGTAATAAAGCCGAGGGAGGCCTGACTGACACACATTCAATCATTATCTCCTCAAAAGGCTATACGTTTCGACCCGGCTGGAATTTCATCCTGCACCAGGCTGTGTTTCGTCTGCACATGTAGTCCTCTCTGCAGTAACAGGTTAACATTTGGACTTGCACTGCGTTCTCCTGGGTCCTTGTTTTGACCGGGTGAACAAGTGCTCCTTTTTAAGTAAGAGGGGAGTATTCGGCTGGCTTATTGTTTATGTTGGCCTGTTTGTCGGGCAGTATAGCTAAACATGGGGAAAACACATGACAAGCCATGTGAAAAAGCCATACAGTATTGAGACTGCTCATGTTAGTCTACTCTGCAAAGAGACATGTCATTCAGGGAAAGACTGCCTGCTGAAATACATAGGAAACAGACATGCTGTCCACTGTAGTGCTGGTGAGGCCAGATCATTTTTGTGGAATTTACGTATATTCATACGCTTCATATAACACCAGAAAGTTCCCAGTTAATATCAATGTGCACATTTTTGTCCAACTGAAACTGCCATAAATCTGTATTCAGTCAATGACCAGATAGGCTCCTTCCTCTGACAACATTTTTTTCACATATTCACCTATCGAGAAAACTACTGTTGTTAAGAGGCACACCGTGCAACAATGCTACATTGCTTGTTAGCTTAACTGTCCGTTTTCCTTTTTAACGTATGAAGTTCATTCGTGGTCGATTAGCATGTTTGACCCTGAATAAATTTAGCTTCTACGGTCATGCAGCGTCCTCGCAGCAGAAACACAGACATATATCAATGTTAACACTTGTATTATGATCTTTTTTTCGTTGTTGTCAAAACTCAAAATAAGAGCTTTATATCGCTTTCTTATTTCTGTGATATGTGTACCCCTACCTACCGGATTGGACCTGCGCTCAGTTCCCATCCCCGGGGTCAAACACCGCCCACTATCCCATCACAAGCCAATCAAATGCGAGAACGAATGTTGCTTTCAGGGACTGCCGGAAACTTCGCAATTACGAGGAGAGCGCATATGAACTGCCAGCAATGTTGAAAGTAGCGAAAGGAAAATAAAGAATTTTCTCGGAGATAAGGAGGGGAGAGCAAGGGCATCGTGTTATAAGGCACGGGTAAACTGACACATAATAGTAATTCATGTTAGTATCATTATTATCACTAATATTGTTATTATTATCGTATGTATCATTATTATTATTATTATTATTATTATTATTATTATTATTATCGTTGGTGTCACTATGACTACATGTTGGTGTAATTTAATAATAAGTCTAAATGCAACCCTACACAGACATAAACTTAATGACTCATTCGTGGTTTCTCCTATTTCCACTGCAGCACATTCTTTCTGCAGTTCACTCTGTCTTATAACTTAGTGATAGGTATTTTAAATTTTCCCACTGATTACAAGAAATCATTCGTGACCATTTGGGCAAACTTGTAATGAAGTGTGCATACACAGGTATTGTCGGTCTGAATTAGGTTACGAGGAGCACCTGAATGCGTCATGTGTCCTTTAAATCCCACGGAGTGAGCTGGCAGAGGAAATTTAACTATTTACTGCAGTATACCGTGCACAGCGACTCTTTCTAGGACTGACTAAGGGTGTTTGTCTTTGATTGCAGAAGGATATGTATGATTGATGGTTAACACTTCAAGGACTCACTGTGTCATTCGATGTATTCGACCTCCACAACACAATCTGCCAGCATACAAGCCATATAACAATGTTGACAGCCATCGGTACAACCCGATGGTCATTTGTCAATCCAACTAAGCCATTTGACACAGCCTCGGTATATCGTACATTTAAAACAGAGTTCTCTTTATGTTGAATTAGGCTACTTAAATCAATTCAAAACGCATGCCTGTGAATGCATCCTAATAGCAACCTGTAGTGACTGTGTGAAAAACACTGCAGAATATAGGCTATGGAAAATGTATTAACATAGTATATTATTCGTGCCATTAACTGCAAATTGAATATGACATAAATGGCCTATTAAGCACTATAATATATGGACACATACTGAATCAGTGGTAGGCTACTGATGAGTTCAGGGTGACCTTATCCTAGGCTAGCCTACTTTGGAGTATTTTTATCTCAGGAACTCATAGTTTTCCTTTAATATTCATGCAGAATACATCGGAAAAAAATCGTCCTATATTTTAAGAGGTCGACCGATGGGGCAAAACTGATAGCATGTCAAAGAGGTCAGCATTTTTAAACACGGGCTGAAGCAATACAGATAGGCCTAGGCCTGCTCTTACTGGGAATGTATTTACCTGGAAAGGCAGTATGTTGTTGCTGTTGTCAGTCCTGAAGGCGCTGTCCTCCATCCAGGGCTTGGGGGTGAGGGGACCGGGTCTTGGGAATTTGGGGGGTGCTATAACATTGCTGGTATAGGGCTTTTTCATGGGGGAGATGGGGTTCAGGGGTGACGGCACCCCGACTCCGACTCCGACCCCTACCCCAACCCCGACGCCCACAGCTCTGCGCGGGTCCCTGCCTGCCTGCAGCCCGCTCCAGGGGTTGGAGGCTGTGCTCCAACCGGCGTTTTGGTGATTATTCCAAGCGGACGATGAGGCAGATGAAGACGACCCTTTGCTGTTATTCATGATGGTCTGATAAGCGTTTCTCTGGGGGAAGGGGCCTTGACTGGGGCTGACAGGGGATCTCCTCTGCTGGGGCTGCTGTTGCTGCTGCTGTTGCTGCTGCTGCTGCTGCGGCGGCGGCGGCGGCTGCTGCTGCTGGGCTTGCTGTTGATGCTGTTGGGACTGGGGAGCCAGGCCGATCTGCGGGGAGAAATTACCCCCGAAGACCGGGTTGATGTGGTGGGGAAAGTTCTGGAAAAGCATCGTCCCGTTCACCGAGGGTATTCCCTGGAAAAAGCTATCGTCCACGGCGTTTGAGGTTCCCGTGGACCAAGTGCTCCCAAACGAGGAGGAAGGGGAGGAAAGGGGGCCGCCGGTCTCCTGTGGCTGGTGGTGGAAGCTCAACCCGGGCAGGATCGGCGATTCCATCGGCACTTTGTCCTTGCTGCTGATGTTCAGCGCTGAAGCCGCTTGGTTGCTCCCGGTCGACGGGCTCTCCGACTCCGATGAAGAAGAAGTGGGCTCCGATGACGGGGTCGGGGTGGAGGGAGGAGGGTCTACTTGCGTCGGATCTTGCTGATGGTGAGGCTGGGCTTTGTTTTTGTCCATCAGTAAATCATCCTGCATGGTTTGCTGAGCTGAAACGGGGGGAAACAGAGACGAGGAGTTATTATTATTGTTGTAATTCAGGAGATCATACACCGGGCTTGCTGGGCTGCTGTAGTATCTGATGAACTGGGACAACTCCGACAAGGATATGATGTTAGAGGGACCAGGCAACTGCAAAGCGAATGCGTGATCACCCATTTAGCCGAAAAGAAGAGGAAAAAACACACTTCCCAAGACTACACCAGAGTGATTCACAAATCCCACAAATTATACACGGAGCATACGGCTGCAGTCAGATATTCACCAGATTTCGCCACGTCTCGTTTTTCCTTCCACGCAGGAACTCCGGGGCTGCAATGTGAAACTGATTCAGTGTGTGTTTTTTGCCCAAGGACCTCCCCTATATTCATTTACATACGTCAGTAAATACAGCTGTCCTTCAACAAGGTTAAAATACAGTTGTGCTTTGACTCAGGCACTTCGACACTCACGACTACAGTCTTTTTTTTTGACTAATATGACTTCCAAAAAAGGCGCACTTCGCCGTTTTTACGCAGTAGAAAGTGACGCACCTGAACCACTTTATTACACCGCAAAGACCTCTCGACATTTCCCATATAACAAAACATGTACTAGTCTTATCATATTTCAGCACAGTGTACAAGACGACGATACTTGAACGGAGAAGATAGAGGTGACTGGCAAAATGACTATGCAGTACACAAGTCCCTGCAGGAATCATATGATTTATAGTAAGAGATTTTATTATAGCGCAAAGAGGGGCTCTGGCTGAGGTCCGCATTGACACATCCACGGGTTTGGCATTCACATTAAACAAGATGTAGCCTGTTCACGTAACTTGAATTTTAAGGCAATAATCCTATAATAAAAGCCCAAGGTGGAATGTAACTCAAAGCTCTACTCGGTGTCCTATATTCAAATTGAGAGATTATGTTGAACCTTTCATGCAAAATGATCCTTTACTTTGAATATCAGAGACAGCGCCCTGCATGAGCAAGGCTAACAAGCACACATTCAAATAAGCCTATTATTACGACAATTTTGCATTCATAAAGTTGCCACATTATTAATACGACATAGAAGTGAGCTGGACTAATGTACAATGTAAATAGAGCACAATATGCTTGATTTCTGCAAGGCTATACGGAGCATTTGAGCGTATTGTCATCTGGAGCGCATGCAAGACACAAAGATAGGCTATGGCACAGTGTCACATCATTCAAGGTTAAAAATATGCTTAATTAAAAGTCCATGATAACACTGGTAAGGCTGTTTGTTGGAATTTGGCTGCAGGAGAGCTAACACGCAGCCTACACTGAGGCCTTTCAATATCATGGATGCAATAGTCTACAGACTTTGAAAATAACACTGCCAGATGACATGCGGGATAATTTCAGCAGCGCGATGGCAGTGATACAAGTTGGACTTTCAAGGTAATCGCAATAGCCTGCATTGCACACACCCCACCAGTTAATCCGTGTTTTCTCCTCCAAGAGCTGCGCTTCCAAGGTCATCAAAGCAGCATAATCAGCAGCCAACAGTGGCTCACCTCACCGGCCCCTTTACCACAGACACTGCAAAACCCTGACCCTTCAAGTGCCTATTAATCGCGTTGATCGAGGCATCCGATACATTTCATGAAGCTGTCTCTGCCTTGAAATCCCCCTTTAATCCATATGTGTCCCCCTCCACACAAACGACAAAACAGCATGCACACACAGCGCTGTCTCTTCTCTGCCTGACGTGAAGCTTGAATTACCTTTATCGTTCACCTTTTTGTGACTCTGTAAGTAAAGATATTTCTGTTTGCCTCGTCTGGGTTTAGATATGACAAACGAGCTACCCTTGTGCCGATATAGTCAGCAGTTGCCTCAACAGCTGATTGACTGCGGCGCATGGATGATGCCGAGGAGGCTGTAGGGAGTTGTAGTTTCTCACTCTGCAGTGGCTGGTCAACACAAATATGTAGCCTATCTATGTTGTTACACACACACACACACACACACACACACACAAATATATATGTATGTATGTATGTATGTATGTATGTATGTATATCTATCTTTATATCAGTTTCAAAGATGACCCATAGGTGAAGTTACAAGTAATAAAAATAGCAATGACTGACAGTAACACCCCTCTTTCTCTCTCTCTCTCTCTCTCTCTCTCTCTCTCTCTTACACAGGTGCTTTCACTCACGCATGTTTTATATGCAAGACACCAATAATAAATTAAAATAAATAATAAATTACTTACATTCACTTTGTAGAAAAGCTTGGAATGATGTAATAAAAATACTCTAACACTCAAGTAAAGACAAGCAGATATGGTGTGGAGTATATAGTTTGACATGAACAATCTATCCTTATTAAAACGTCTTACCACTATTAGATATGTTCTGTAGCCATATGTGCATCTTCATGACGGCCGTGTCTCCAGAAAGCCGTGGCCTCCCTTTGGCACATCTGTTCGCAGTGGATTCAGAACATTAAGTTGATGTTTTTAGCCATAAGAGGGAGGGAAGCGTTACGAGACTACATTTCCCATGTCAGAGGAACGGTTTCCCTTTGCGGCGCTGTCCTTGTTTTGATGACGCAACACGCACAGCCGTGCTATTTTACGTTACCTCAGAGACGGCCAGTCAATGGAGTCAAACGGTCACGCCAATGCGATGATATTAGTGACAAACAAGGCCGTAGCCGATGTAAAGAGGATTTTTACGTGAGTTAGTGCATCGGTCGCAGATAGATGCTGTTTAGACTGTCATGACCGTGCAGGAATAGTTTTATGCTAAATAATTGGCTCGTTTGCAGCTGACGCCGTGTCAACACAAAGGCCTATGCAGCTAGTTAGCGTTAGTTCCTCAGCTAGCTAGCAAGTGGTTTTACTCCAACCTCAGCTGCAGCAAATTAACAGGCGTGCCATTTTAATGTTTTATCTGTAACGCAGTTAATCCCCTATACTAAGAAGAAAGCATTTGAGTATTGTTTTGCTTCTCAACGATAATGGCGGAACAGGGTGCAGTGGTCATGCAGCAGAATTTGGACAGGTGAGTTCAAGTTTAAGGCTAACGTGCTAATGGGCAGCTACGTAGCTTTACGTAAAATCATTACGATGGACAGAAATGGGTGAAGTGAGATTATTACCTTTTAAAACTATTCAGAAAAGCGTCGACTTTAACATGTGGTTGTTTTATATCTATTGACTTTAAACTCAATTTTGAATATCATAAACGTTGGCTAGTCATTGTATTGTAGTGTTGATACAGGATGTCCACCACAACTACTGTACTAAATTTAACACTGCATTAAGTGAACTTAATACCTCCCTATAACTTTGAATTAATTCACCTTAACCATATACAGGTACTTCTTTTACCCTGTTACTCGTAATTAACCTAAGGTCATAATGTTAGCTGCACTTATCCCAAAACATTTGTCCTGTCAACTCTTGACCCTTAGATGAGGAGAAGGCTGTGCTTGGTAAGATTTCTGAAATGGTCACGTTCATAGCTAATGATCATTATGGCACTGAAAGAGCAAACTGCTTATCTTCTTTTAAAAAGAAACACTGGATACAATTTCTATGGCAGGTTTGCTTTCATTCACCTGGATATGTGCTATTTAAACTCACACTCATTCATAGAATAGCCAGAACTTATGTAACCCTGCAGTTACTTGATAAGATGTCTGAATTGTGTGCATGAACAGTTTGTTATAAAGAAGAGAAAATCATATTGAGCATTCAGTGGCAAGAAAGATTAAGTGAACCCCTTGGAATGACCTCCATTTATGTATAAATTTGTTCTAAAATATAGACAGATCTTCATCCAAGTTACAGTTATGAACAAGCACGGACTTATGATGAGGTATTGTTGATTCGCATTAAGCTGGAAAGGCTTACAAAGTTATCTTGAAGAGTTTAGATATTCATCACTCCACAGTCAATCTATAAACGGAGATTATAGTTCACAAGTCTGCAAAACACAAATCATGATTGCATGGAGCATGGTGTTCTGCCATGGACACCACAGAAGAAGCTGCTGCTTTCCACAATAACAAATTGAAATTTGCCGAAGAGCAACTTGTAACTCCATAACACTACTGGGAAAAGGTTTTATGGACTGATGGTCCACTTGTTTAGGAAGAACATGCAGCACTATGTATGGTGTGAAAAGGCCTCTGCTTACTAACATGAAAATATCATTCCAATTATGATTTGGGGCTTTGCTGCCTCTCGACCTGGACAGCTCGCCATCCTTGAGGTGAAAATTAATTCCTAAGTTTATCGAGGTATCTTAAAGGATAATGTCAGGGTAGCTGTCCACCTGCTGAAGCTCAGTAGAAGTTGAGTGATGCAGCAGGACAATGGTGCTAAAAATAAACTAAATCCACCTCTACAGAATGACTTCAAACTATAAAAATCCACCTGTTGAAGTGGCCCAGTCAGAGTTCAGACCTTAATCCAGTAGAGATGCTGTGGAATGACCTGAAGAGAGCTGCTCACACTAGACATCCTAAGAATATATTTGAGCTGAAGCAGTTCTGTAGGAAGAATGGTACAGGTTCCCCCCCACCCCACCCCAACCCCAAACATTGTGCAGGTCTATTTCAGCAGCTACCAGAAGTGCTTTTTTGAGGTCATTCCAAAGGGTTCACATACTTTTTCTTGCCACTATACACTTAGAACAAAGCCTGAGTGGGCCTGATGACACCTTTAGGAACAATTCTATGAAAGAGGAAGTATTAGTAGGTATCATCATCTGTCGCTAGCTAGGAATGTGGAGATTCTTTACAGTAAATGAGGGGAAAAAACAAAGCAATGGAATGCTAATTGTTCTCTGTGAGTGTTGTGGGGAAAATCAGTGTTGGAAACCTCCTCAAAGCATCATGGGAATAAATTTGATGAAGCTGTACAAGTAAAAAGCATCAAGAAGGAAGAGTATGCAAGATCACTAAACATAGATGGAAGCTATAAAGAGGGAGGGGGTATGCTTAATGACATTCAAACATGTTTAGGTTTGCTTCATACTGCCAATCTGGCATAGCTGTCCAATGCCTGTACACACAAAAAAGCGAATTCCCTTTGAAGCCATGGGAAAATATTACAGTGATAAGTTTTACCGCTGACATAAGAAGCTCAGACTTGTCTTCTGACATTGAAATGTCTGACAACACTCTGGGCAGACTGGGGCATTGCTTAGCACAATGTGGAACCGCAGGTTTAACAGTTTCATGGTCTCATGGAGGCGGTATCCATTATGAAGGGTGGGGAATTATTTTGAGCTAAAATCACATACAATCATACCCTCAGTACATTTCTTCAGGGATGTTGGGGTAGACAATCGGCAACTCTGCAGTTCCCTTGGAGCAGTACAAGGTCCTGAGCCTTGCTCATAGCTGTAGCTTGTCACTTTGGCAGCCACACTAGACATAAAACCCAGACAATGCAGCCTCAAATTCTGAAAGGCTGCTTCTTTTTATTTGTGATAGCTAGCAGCCAACCTTTAGGCAACAAGTTAAATTCACATTCAGCACATTATTATTCAGATTTTTGTTTGGTTTCCTTTTGTTGTTTTAGCAAGAGCATCAGTTCATGCTGTGTTCATTTTCAATGTTGTTTTCACATTAATGCAGCTTTTTGCTCATGCTGCTCTGCAAAGTAATATTGTTGCACACAGTAAGACAAAAGATAGCTGAGCTCAGGGTCTTAACTATGCGATTTCATATGATATCGCATCACAGAGATCAGACTTGCAGGATTGCAGCTGTAGTGTGTTTTGTGGTCAGATCACATCAACACATTGCTCAGCATGCTTTGACTAAAGTTAGCATGGGACAATGTGTTTTTGTCTTACAGCTTTCATCAGTGTAGTCAGATAAGGTGATCAGTTTTATGTGATGGTGAAACTGGGAAAAAAATGAAACAGTTTACAGACTGCATTAAATCGTACTGGGTTGAATCCACTGAGCACATCCTGGTTAAAAAGGTTTGCTGTTGATTTTGAGTCTAACTAACCCCAAAGCTGACTGAACAGTTAGGTTTTTGAATTGCTTGATCAAATCAATTTTTTTAAGTTGTGCAGCTTGACTACAAAAACACTCCTGTGTGATCTGCTGTTTTTGAAACATAAAATAAACGATTTCAGAGATTTGTGGAGAACAAAAAGTTCTTACCTGCCACTGTCAAGCTGAAGCTCACTAGCCGTGTGTGTGATGTTAGTATTTTTGAACGTATTTAAAGGCTCAGTTGCTGATCAAATGTAAACAAAAGGGTTACTGCACCACCAAAATTCAAACACTAAATTAGAACCTGTTATCTTTAACAAGTTAGTTTTCTGAAGCTCTGAAATGTTTGAAAAGTATTTTTAGTTTTAAAAACTTAAAAAAAAAAGGTTCAACTATTATCAATTATTAATGCAATAATACCTTAGATTTTTGTGTCTTAAATTTTTTTTTTTCCTCAGATTTGAATTAAATTGATTAATTAAGCCAAAAAAGAATTGGCACTTCAATTCAATTGCAAGTTTTTGCACCAGTCTTGTACAACTGTTAGTGAATCTAGTAGTGCAGTTCTGATTTATCATAATGCAGTTGTAGAACAAGACAAGTGAATCTGGTAATTGTAACCAGCTTGGTTCTATTTTTATTGGAATGTTTGCTAAGAAAATAAATTGCAGGTAATTCAATACCTCTCTTACAAATTGTGGGATGTGCAATTGAGGTCCATGTAATGAATTCAGTAAAGTAATCATTATGGGCATGCATAATAAGTTTAGTGCTTTGACCTACTAATCTCCCTGTTTTCATTTCTGGGAATACATAAAATTGAAGTATAAACTTGCAGAACAAGATAAGATGTGATGAAATCTAATCATCTTCCATGTAAGCAAAGGAGTCTTGTTTTTAACTCAGACTTAGATAAATCAAGCATTTTTCACAATTGACCAAGGTCATTTCTACCCATCGTCATTCTGTATGTAATAATATAACAGGATTCAGTTTTTAAGTGGCACAAAGCCACGCTGGCTGCTTGTTACGTGTTGTCGTGCTACTTGTGTGACCAGAATTTTCCATCTTCTGGGTAAGTGATGGTGAGCGGATGCTGCAACCTCAGGTCCAAGCACATCGGTGTGCCGTTCCCCCTCAAGATAGTTACCAGCATTTGATAGCTTGTGCAGTGCATACTAAGAGGCATTTGTAGGAATTTGACACAGCACTTTCTGTCAATATTGAATGCTGGACTTTGAAACCGTTTCCCAAGCACATGGTAGAGTAGCAGAAAGAAAGGAAGGGCATGTGAGCTTTGTGAAATGTGCTTTAGCTGCGTGCTGTGGCTGTGTGGCAGAGGCAATAACCCTGACAGTGTTTGAGGAGCTGATAGCAGTAAGATGTATGTCATGTCCCCTTGCCCATGGTTGTGTACCCAGCCTCTATCACTGACAAACATAAGGCTCCACAGGCTCTTATCTGGCCTGCCACAAGCAGCCAGCTGCCCCTGCAATGCAGTGTTTCACAAATAGATGTAGAAGACACATTTCAATCCAGCCTGACCTTTTTATTGGCTCTCACACAACCTCCATGTTTTATTATTTTCTTGTCTGCTTCTGTTGTCCAGATCACTGACCCTGTTGCTGTTGTATGAATGTGTATGTAAATATGTGCTGTGTGTGTATGAAAGGGATAATGATGATTGAAGGCATGGTTAAACTCAGTAGTCATGATTTGGTGCAATTCTGGTATGGGGTGGTGTGAAGAAAGTGATGTTCATTTTCTTGTTAAATACAAAACTTCAAAATAAGAGCTCATGGTTATATTGATATACATACATATGTTTAACAAACTATATTGTTGGGTTTTTTCTTATCATAATATGTTGTAGTAAGGTAAAGCTACTTTTGACATGTTGCCTTTCTGGGTCTTAAAGATCTGCGTTATTGTTGGTGATACAAGACTGTTCTAATTCTTTGTTGTAGAGGACATGCATGTATCTATTCTTATGTTATTATCTAACATAACTACTTTTTTTTCAAATACCATCCCTATTTAA